TCTCACGAACTAGTTCTCTGTCTTCCAGCATTAACCCTTGATACCAACCTGTCGCATAGTCTGCTGTCGCACTGGCAGAACTGGCCCGTGATGTTGAACGTGCTGCCCGCGTGGCACTCGCACTTGCCGCAGACGCACTCGCCGCGTCCGGAACACTCGGGTCCGCTGGTCGAGTTGTCAGGCAGGCACGACTGTCCGCTCAGAGTCTCGGAGCACTCGCAGCTCCAGCCGGCCCTGCGGGGTCGCAGACATTCAGGGCGTATTGAGAGACCCCACACTGGTCGTCAGCGGCGACCCACAGCCAGTAACCGAACCTTAAGGGTTAGCTGAAGGGTCTCAAGACCCAATCCAATACTTTTGTAGAGGAGAGTTATGGTCAACGGACAACAGACAAGCAGTTCTTGATTTAGAGTCAGGTGTGTTCGTTGGGTACAAAAATGTTGCGTTCGAGTTAGAGCAGCAGGAATGAAATACCCCGCTAGTGCGTCGCAGTGCCCATCACCTCACCTTCCATCGGGGCAGTCGCAGACGCCGCACTGCAGTGCGCCCACGCCGCTGCACTTGGGGCTGTTGGTCTGCACGAGCTCGGGTCGCTCGCAGTCGCATTCACAGACGATCTCTACATCCAATCGCACTGTCTCGGAGGTCAGAACGTCCTTCAGGTGGATAGTGTGGTTCTGAGGACAGGGGCGATCGGGACAGGCGTGAATCACTGCCTGATTACAATGTGAAATCGTTCAGCTCTGCAGAAGACAGGGGCGAATGGTGTAAGTCACCTAACCCTGCGGGGCACTTTTTACTGTTGACGTTGCAAAGTTACAGTGCGTGAGTGCCATTGCGCTTATCATGACACAGGTGTACTAAATACTACTGAAGTGCGTTGAGGTCCAATCAATGGGCAGCCTAAATCTTGCCTTTTGTTTTGGACAGCCGAGGACCTCCACCTCGATGGAGAAGGTGACCAGGTCGCCGGTCTTGATGCCAGTGCAGTTGTTGCGCAGCTTGAGCTCGTTGTCCAGACAGCTGGAGCGGTAGCGGATGGCTATCTCATCGCCGGAGTCGTCCACCAGTTCGATCCTGGACGTGATGCTCTGAGGACGTTGTGGTGAGAGAGTGAAACTGCCACTGAAGTAATGCTCGACATCAGGGCGAGCCTATGATGCAACGAGTGCACGTTATCCATTTGCACCCCCTTCCCCGACCGATGTAGGAAACCAATAGGTCCCGCGAGGTTTAATTGTTCATCATGGGAGACATCCAAACTTTCCCCTTACACTATGTTCAGTGCTGTACGAATAAAGTCATTTATAAAATACTGAAAAGTTGGGCTCCAGTTCTCACATGCATGCCTATTCAGATGCATATCTTGACGAGGCGTACTGGCTAGAGATGATGGTGGATTACCGAGATGTGTCGTCTTCATTACCTCGTACTGGCGTTTTATCACCGACAGGATGTTGGAGGAGTCATCCAAGAGCGACTCCACCTGCACGCTCGCCTTCATCAACTCCGCCAGCTTGTCGTACTCCTTCCTCACGTCACTGAACACGGCGAACACAACGTTCATCTGAAAAAGAATGGTGGCGAACGTGTCGTTTAGACTAGAAGAAATTAGGAATCAAAGTTGAGGCTCAGGCTGCGCCTTTCGCACATAGCCTTTCACGATCGAACCCAACCACTGACTTCAACTGGCCGCGGCTGATTCCACTAACCGCAAACGAACAGACCATCCTTTTCAAGAGTCTCGTTTCGTGAATCAAGCGCCGAAGCGACTCTAACCCGAAGTCTGTCGCCTTTCGCCACAGGGAATCGGACGCTCTACCAAATAAGCTATAAGACGGAGGGACATATAACTCATTCATATGGATAATGTTTATACGTCCGATGAGGTGTGATAAACTGACAATTACGTAAGATAAACGGCTTGCCTTGTCGCCAGTCGTCGTCTGGCCGTCCAGGTACTCACGTTTTCCCTGCGGAGCACCCGGTCCAGTTCGGCCACAGACGGATAGTCGTGTGTTCTGGTCCGCTCGTAGTAGCCGTCGTCGGACAGCTTGCAGGCGAGCTCGTTCCTCATGGCAGCTCCGCCCAGCTGGGCAACAAGACGTCGCGGTGTGAAGAGACGCAAAGGAACATTCTTGACTGGCACACGTTTTAGACGACAGCGGATATGCGACCTCAATTCTGCTCGTGATTTTATGATTCTGATAGTGATTCTGCTTGTATATGTAGATAAGATTCTCGCAATGTTACGGCAATAAAAACAAGTGAAACCGTAAGAACATGTGCCAAGCCATCATAATACAGTAACATGATCCAAAAAGCTATGCAAAAGCTATGAAACGTACCAAGCCCTCCCCGGCCAGATGAAATAAGCCGTCACTGGTGTAGATGATGAGTTTACGGGACTTCTTGTTCCAGCCGATGACGTCAGAGCACGTGGCGACCTGGACCAGAGCATCCAGGCCGCCCTCCAGGTCGTCCAGGTTGGCTGAGACCTCGGCCTGCCGCACCTGTCATTACGCTGTGTGTCAGAGAACAGGGAGGTCGACTGGGAGAGCAGGGGAATCTCAGACCACGTTGCGTTACTTAGAAATCGACGTATGTTGCGGTAGACAAGTTTGACTTTAAACGGTTACGAATATATCAAAGATCATGTAAAGTTAATGTTAAGGGAAAGTAATGAGTTTCGAAGCCTTATTACCGAGTGAATTACAAATCAGCAACTGCAGCACGCTCAATTTACAGCTGACCGAAAGATGGTCAATCAAAACGTCTGCTTTCATTTTGAAGTAAGACTTTCATCCATACAAAGAACGCGCCCTTCGCACGTGACGCGTGGGTCACGTTCCTCTGGGATGACCAAGCCAGAGTCTGCCGCAGTCACGTCAAAGGCGACGCGGCAGTGACGTATTCGACGCAAAGGCTAACGCTTATATGGCTGCTTGAGAGCGAGACAGGAGACCTAAGGATGCCCAGTCAGACATTACGAATAGCTAATGCAGGGCCAGGAATAGACAAAAACCGAAGCACCAATCCGAAACAGACAATGAAAGAGCGTCAATGAGGTATATACATGTATGTATGTATGTATGTATGTATGTATGTATGTATGTATGTATGTATGTATGTATGTATGTATGTATGTATGTATGCATACTAGTGTCGATTTTTTAGCGATTTCGAGTGCTGAAAGCCAAGTTATTCGAGAAGACTAGCATCGTACTAAAGTTATTTATTCAGGCTCCAAAGCGGCAGATGGAACCCGTTAATCTCTTTAACTCAACTCGATTTACCAAAAAGTTAATGCTGCTAAAAAATCGTTTTGCATTATTTTATGATAGTCGTCACTTCCAAAAAGAGTACCAGACCTTGGACAAGGCCCTCTAACCTTATAGATTAGATGCCGATCCTTAGCCCTTGGAACCCTTAGCCGACCTTAGATTGAAAAGCACAATGTTAAGTCGGCATAACATTCGTCTTGTATTTAGGGTCTTGATTCGTCTTATCCTTATGGTCAGTATGTAGCCTGCAAAGACTGCAACTGACTGTGAAGTGAAACACTGAAACGTTTGGAGCTATATACAACAATTCAACACCTTTCGGCTTTCACATTTGTACCGGCTCCCAGTTTACCTTTTCAGTGAATCGGTTCACTTCATTGGAAAGGTTCAGGTGATTCCGGAAGCCGTAGGCGGGCACGCAAGTGATGTCCTTGTACAGGGCGCACGGGTTCTCCTTGGTGCCCGCCGCCTGCGACACGTACGGCATCACGGGCTTATCCACGAAGCTGCCGAAGCCCAGGCGGAAGTTCTTCGTCAGCCGCCGCAGCAGGATGGTCATGTCCTCACCTAATCGGAAAGCATAATTGGGATTCAGATAGGCATTGCAAGCAACATGTGAACGTTAGTTTCCTAGAGGAAGATGCCAGAGGGGATCATGCATTCAGTTGTTAAAGGTTGAAATAAAATGAAATTGCTTACGTCAGAAGCTCTCCACGACATCCGAGGTATTTTCAAGTTGAAAATACCTCGGATTTCAACCTATCCCTTTTAAAAGAAGTCCGCTTGCTGGGCGATGCAGGTTTCAGAGAAAAGGATTTGTTGATGAACAGTTCGCAGATTGATACGTTGGCACCGAAAGGAGTGACTCGATAGTCAATTCTCATATCTCAGTTCATCTGAAAACGATCCACGCAATGCGAGGCCTTTCACTTTTCACATCAATCAATAAGACAGCTGACCTAAAAATGCAGACCTCTGTTCCCCGTTTTATGTGACCGGCTCACCGAGGGCCACGAGTGTTTCCTTATCCTCGCGCATGGAGACGGTGAGGTCCATCAGGTAGTACAAGTCCAGCGGGTAGTCAGCCACCTGGCGAAACTTCACCTCGAACTCCTTCCGCTCGTCTGAAAACACGGCCGTCAGTTCTCAGCGTGACAGCTTGTGCAAAAGCGCACACATACACGCACATGCAATATGCAGCAACACAAACGTTAAGGGCTGAAGTGCTCAATCATGGGAATACAGCAACGTCCACACTACATGCACCATTCAGGTATATTCATTTGCGACATAGCAAACCTTCCTCAGTGAAAGCAAAAATATTGGCAAGCGATAATCCTCCAGCGAAGTATAGATCGCACAGACCACATACTTAATTACGGCAATCGACCACTTATACATATACCGTTGGTATATAATGGTCTATGGAGCGCTACATGAATACAGCTCCGTAGCTGGCGATTGTCGAATCATATACCTACAATGCATGTATGTACAGTTGAGCACATAATGATGTTCCACTTTTCACAGGCACTTAGTTGCTCGGAGTGGAAGGCTGTGCCGCATCACACGAGCTGAGTGACACAGTTTGATGCATCATTTAGTCAACTGTATGCGCTGTATGTACACGTACATTGAGGGATGATGAGAGCAGACGTGAACTCACGCGGTTTCAGGCATGAACTCACGCGTTCTCAGACAAAAACTCACGCGGTCTGAGTTTGAGCCGCAGGTGCTGCGGCGCCACCTGTACCGGCTGGCTGGGCGACTGCTGCTCCGACAGCGACGTGTTCTTCACCGCCTCCACACTGGACCGGGGGAACACGATGTCGGGAGGCGGGCACAGGCGCGCAATCACCGCGCTCAGGTCGCAGTGGTCGTACGGAAAGCCCTGCGGCGACGACAGGGGGTCACGGTCGCCCACAGGTCACGGAACCAGAGTCTGTTACGCCATACTGCACCTGGGCCGGACCTTACATTAGGAGGATGTGCATCGTGCAGGTGGATTTTACAGCGGTTTTTACGACGGGCTATCTGGAGAATGCACCAAACTTAACCCGCGCCCTGCTGGGGGGGGGGGGGTGTTTGAATACCCCCCTTGTGGTTTTTCGCAAATATCTCAAAAAACGGCGGCGCGGAGCGCCGCCGTTTTTGGTACACCTTATCATACATCAATTCTACACATGTTGTAAAAATTTCAGACCAAGGTCATTCAAGGTCAGGTCACCAGGTCACTTGAAGTGACCTCACCTCATAAAAAGTTTCAATGTCTGTCATAGCCACACCGAATGACCGATTGCTTTGAAACTTTCAGCGATTGCTAAGAGCAATAATATGTACAAAATGTATATCTCAAAATTTTGATATCGATAACATAATGTCAGGTCAATTTTGCGACCTCCCCAATCCCCATTATAAGTCAATGTGAGAAAATTGAAATGCGCCTCTTTTGGACGAAAGACATTACAAACACTCCCAAACATCGAATTACAAGTGGTTTAGACACACTGAATATGAAAATCGTGTCCGTGACCCTTGTTTATGCCCTGAGGTCATCTTAGGTCACAATTGGTATCTAACAGTTTTTCGCAAATAACTTTTGATAGAGGCATGCTAGAGCGATGAAAACGCCTTAGATGTGTTCAGCTCGACGATACGGATCGACTGATATGCAACATGACCCTTTCCGGTCAGGTCAGGTCACCTTGACCTGAGGTCAAATTTTCGATTTGACCTTTCAAGGTCAAGTTATAGTTTATTCGATGCGTCTTGACGAGAGGAACACGATGCCGGTGAAAGTAAGCTCGTACAAGGCTTGGGTCAAAAATTATTGCAGAAAACCTGTTTCCAAAAAAATCGGTTATTTTTGCAGTTTTTGCCCCCTGCAGGCAAAACCGTTGAAGTTAGGTCAAATCTGAGAGAATTACTCAGAAAGGGCGTTCATAGGGCTATCGAATGCGCTTTTCCGCGGCGCTGTAGCTTTATTGGTTCCCGAGTTATGCGTTGGCTTCTTGGAAATTTTCGACATTCGACCTGGAAATCGGCGAAATTTGCCTTCAATGACCTCTGGTGACCTGACCTTTGACCTAACAAAAAAATTGACCGAAGTGATTTCGTCATTATTTTTGACGCTCTTTCGAACGCCGCCTTCCGTGTACCGTTACGTGGCCCAGGAGCCGAGTTACAAGGGGGGTGTTCAAACACCCCCCCCCCCAGCAGGGCGTGGAAATCCAGGACCCCCAGTCGGGCGCAGGTTAACCCGGCACCGCCTGGGCTATTTCCGTACCCACGACAGCCTGGGGGGGGGGTCGGATCCGACCCCCCTGTTATCTCGAGAACCAATGGTCGCATCGAGCCCCGCGAGGCGGCGTTCGAAAGGTCTCTACGAGACCTTCCCAAAGCACTCTTAAGATTTTAAGATTGAGGTCAACTTTCGGGTCAAGGTCAGGTCAAAGGTCAAATTCTGGGGTTTTGCATGATTAGGCTTACGGACAGCGGAATCGATAGCTGCTGCTCGAAACTCACCAAAAATGACCTCAAAGGCCTAGTGAAGGTACCATGTGCGTATAGGGGTCATACTAAGTACGGGTCGAGGTCAGGTCAGGTCACGAAAGGTCACGGTTCTCACTTTCTGCTACATGGGCGTGCGACACATGTTTTATGGCTTATTTTTCACGCCGAATCCGATGGTAATGGTTATATGTGACCCCAAGTCACTGTGCTGGTGATAAGTGTGCATTGAAAGCGTAAAAAATCGTTTATACCATACATAACTAAACGAGGGCTGAGAAAAAGGGTCAAATTTTCAACTTTTTATTTTTGACATAAAAATGCACTTTTCTAGACGAGCTTTGTCCCAGGAATCTAGTGGTGTCATTTGTTTTCACATGCGATGTTTAGAAGTGCCTCTAATTCACGAAAATGCTTATGACGTCACCATGCCCTATGCATGTTGAAGCTATTTTTTTACAATTTGGGGGTCAAAAATCAAGATAGAAAGTTGAAATTTGGGACATCTAATGTTCTAATAGAGCTCTATAACATATATTCCGGTTTTTTGGAAATTCTCAAAATTTTGGATTTTATTAGCTGTTTTCCAAAAAATGTAGTTTTTTGAATTTTTAGGGGTGAAAAACGCATTTTATGGAAAATCCGAGATAGCCATTTTAAAGAACTCGTTGAGCTGCGTCTATTCAAGTCCTTGATTTGCAATTTGCTTTAAACCCTGATTTTTGGCGATTTTTTAAACATTTACCACTTTTTGACTAAAAACGCCATGTAGTTACATCACTAAAATCGATATATCTCAAAAAAATTTGAATTTTTTTTCTTAAAAATTGCACAGAACACGTCAAATTAATGGGGGAGAAGGTATGCCAAGTTTCAAGTTGATAGCGTAAGCTGTTCTTGAGTTATTTAAGAAAAACGGAGGGGGGGTCGGATCCGACCCCCCCCCCCCCAGGCGGTCGCGGGTTAAGACAAAATCTAACCAAATCTCTTTTAGGGCAAACGAACTTAGTTTGATGTTTTGATCGAAAATATAATATCATAATTTTATAACTAAGGCATATGTTACGGCCCATTTCAAAACTCAGCCTGTATTAAATCTACTCGGCCCGTATCAATACCGACTGGAAAGAAGAAAACCTACTATTTACCCTCGCCCCGTCGGGGGGGGGCATTTTGGCCCCCCATGGTGTGTCAAAAGTGGAAATAGCCGCCCGGCTTTAGTTCGCCAGCCTTGTCAATAGATGGCAGTACCACAATATGGGCAGCGGATCGTGCAATTGACGTCAAATTTTCGATATCTGCTGAGAATTGAATGGCGGATCTTTTCATGCAAGAATCAAGTAAATCGGTCCACAACTTTTCTAGCAACAGAGATATAAAGTCAAACACCCTGCCAGAGCGGCGGCGCGGCGTCCGGCGGCAGCCGTTACGCGCCGCCTGGGAGACTGGCGGCGCTGAACGGTTCCGAATTGGCACTGCACTAAAACCTGTTAACTGCTTGGAATAGTTAGCATAGCAAAATTTTCATTCAAGTGAGGAATAACCAAGGGCAGGAAGTATGTATGCTTGTGTGCGTACTATGTAAGCCAAGAAACTGCATTAGCAGATACTCGCTAATATTAGATCCAGCCAATTCCAAACGCATTCCAGGTGATGTGTTTCTGATGGGTCAACAATATTTATCGTTCGAGGGCGGATACAGTTTTAACAATACAAAAACTATTTTTGCACAGCTCTATTCCTTGAATAATTCTCTTCAACGCCTCATTCCTAGTTAAGCGAATTAGCCCACCCTGGTTGAATAAATAAGGCGATTTCGCCACAAGGTCGGGGAAAACCGACCGAAAACGGCCGCGCTCAACGTTAATTTGGGCATGCAGACTCTTAAAAACTCGCATTGGGCGGGTAGGGTTTCCCAGGTATTGGCTCCAAGACACCGTATTCGGCTCCCGAATACGTCCAAGTGACCTGTCTCGTTCCTAGTTAAGCTCTAATTAGATCAAGTGACTCATAGGGAGCGAAAAAAGCGACAAAAAGCATGAATTTCCCTATGGCGGCGGGCTTCCGGGTTGCCAGACGGCGCACCGGCTATTTCCACTTTTGACACACCATGCCCTGTGGTTTTTCCTAAATAGCAAGAAAACGGCGGCTCGCAGCGCTGCCAAATTTTCAGTACCTTCCCGGGCATCAATTTGACACCTTCACACCAAATTTCAAGTCTTAGGTCACCTTAGGTCAGGAGTTATTGAGGTCAAACTGAGGTCATGTTCGAGCAAAAATGAGCAAAAAACACGCAATCTTGAAACGCTCACCAAATCTACAGTTACCAAGCAATTTCAAAGTTCTTTATATGGTCTAGTAGCCAAAAAGCGGTGCTACAAAACTGTTATCTCGGATTTTCAAAATTTTGGGTTTTTGACCCAAAACAATTCAAAAATTGATTTTTTTTTCATAAAGAAATCCAAAATTTTTCCGATTTTCGAAAAAAAACGACATATATATGATAGTCCCTGCGCTCTTCTATATACATACCAAATTTCAGATCGATATCTCTTTTTTTTGGCCAAGTTTTAGCGAAAAAACTGTTCAAAAATGATGACGTCAAATTTTTGAACTTAATTTTTAGCGATTCTAGACCACGTACGGCAAAACAAAGACCACCATTGAACTCCCCGTGACGAGCTGCATCGATTCGATACCCATTTTATGCAAAAATGTCAACTTTGAAATTTGACCTAATTTGACCTGACCTTGACCTGACCTTGACCTGACCTTGACCTGACCTTGACCTGACCTTGACCTGACCTTGACCTGACCTGACCTGACCTGACCTGACCTGACCTTGACCAAAACGTGACCTAAGCTGGCCCCAAAGGCTGCCTGACCCACATAATCGCATTTGTCATGTAAAATGGACCATAAAACATGCATCATACGACACTTTCATATTGTCACCCCCCGGTGACCTGACCTCTGTGTGACCTGACCTGGTATCAGTGACCACAAATAGCAAAATATGTGTTTGAAGTACATTTCCCCATCGATGATTTTCAATGAAATGCATTTTACTCGATTTTACAACGCATTTCTTGAAATGCCTGTAAACGGTGAAAATTGGACCTTTGACCTGACCTGTGACGTCATCAGTTTGACCTAGGTCAATAAAATTGGGTCACAAGGTAGTTCCCTGATAGGGCTGTCCAACACCGTTTGCCGCTTGTCGCTAGGTTACGTGGTTCTCGAGATCTTAGGGGGGCCAAAATGGCCCCCCCAACAGGGCGCGTTGCTCGGCAGAGCCCAACGGGGCGCGGGTTAATACTCACCGGCCCTGCAATGCATTAATTCTTCGGGCAGCAGTTCAGCGCTAATACGGGTCGAGAAGTTTTAAAGGCAAAACATAGTCATCGAGTCCGACGCCGTAAGCCGCCGTCTCCCATGAAGTGTCCCTCGCTGTACTGACCTCCGATCGTTCCGTTTTGCACCAGGCACAGTCTGAGTGGGCTGTCAGGCAGGCAGTGCAGCTCTGCTGACCCTTGCAGCTGGCGGTGGTCTCGGCGCCGCCTGGGGGTCAGAGGTCATCCCGGTGACGTCACAGGTCACATGAAATCACACGTATCGACTCTTCACCATGTGTTTCGTCTAAGTCATTCATCTGTTTCAAAACATTTTGGCTACATGGAAAGCTGAAATGAGGGGATGAACTCAAGCCGTTTTCACGACGGCCATCTGGTACACATTTGGTGCAATCTGGTACAGATTAGGTGCAGATTTGGTCAAATCAGGTTCAGTGTGTCTCTTAGGAGCTATCAGCTAGGGTTGCCCTAATTGCTTATATGCCTGCTTTGTCATATTATCAGAGAGCATCATCGATTAAAACACAGAAATAAATTCATAAAATGAAGAAATTTGCTGTAAAAGAACTTCGGTGCAGATTTGGTCAAATCAGGTGCATTCGCCGGAAAGCCCGTCGTGAAAACGGCTAATACCGTGCCACTTATTTCCTTCTTCTCTCTAATACCTGAGGGGAGGGGGAGGGAGGGAGAGAGAGAGAGAGAGAGAGAGAGAGAGAGAGAGAGAGAGAGAGAGAGAGAGAGAGAGAGAGAGAGAGAGAGAGAGAGAGAAAGAGAGAGAGAGAGAGAGGAGATAAAGATTTGCCGACAAGTAAGTACCTTATTGCTGGTTACAAGAGGTAATAAAGAAGCATCGATCAGTCTTAAGTTTTTTATTATTATTGCTAGCTTGTTCAGCTTGTTCACTTAAATGTTTCACAAAATTGCGTCCCCGAATACCGAGTCGACTACAAGCGTAGGTATAGGCAACCCTAACATTTAATAATTATTGTCGAAAAAGTGTCAATTCCTCACTGGGATATTCGACCAAGTACCAGGTGTCATGAGCTCAGCACCATGTGACATAGTTATATGTAGTCATTTCGTGCACATTTACTGCGCCGCAGTACCAGACCCAGAGGGAAGTCCAGCCAAATACCGATATCGCACCTCCTTGCACGCGTGCAGCGGCTAGCAATCTCTTATCGGTCTGACTCAGCTGGTACGTCGACCTGGCGCGGCTCCGAGACCTTCTGGAAAGGTGCAGGTAGGTTTCCACTGACTTACCTGGCTGAAAGAGAGACGATAGAGCCAGTAACCCGGCCGCTAGGATGATAGGGCGCCTCATTATTGCCGAAGCTGCTACAGAACGGCAATTGGTAATATAAAACCAGAAACCGGGACCTCAAATTGATCCGCTAAGATCAGCTTTGGGGGAGCAGGAGCATTAGCATTGAAGCTAGCCCAGTACACTTCTTATGAGTCAGCCACTGTGTCAGTGTGCACTGATCACTGTGCTCACATCGATTGCACTGTGCACTGTTCACAGTGTTCAGGCAGGTCACCTCGTCTCGTCCTTAGCCGTCACTCATACGCCTTCAGACACGGTCACTGAAGCCGCGCTTCACTTCCACTTCCTAACCAGCGCGTTCAAGCACGCCACGCCGTGTCCGCCGGCCGGTACCGGTCGGGAGGAGCCCGATCCTCTGTCGACTGAACAGCACGTGTTGTCCGGCGTCGGTGCCACCCGGCCGGCGTAGCGTTATCGGCGGCCCCTGATAGCAGGCCAGAGCACCGATTTGAACTGAACGCCGCCCAGCAAACAACGCGCCACTCAGACACGTCGCAGAAGATAGGCCATGGAATGTGGCCGCTTCAATGAACCGTATTTTTAAGATATATTTGGCATTGCAGGACAAATATGTTTGAATTTTGCCGGCAATTTATTGATCACACGCGCGCATCTGTACAACTTAGATGTCTGTGCCATAGTCTATGCCTATGTATTTGTCGACGTCGATAGTATTGTCGCCATGCCCCTTGCAGGCTGCAGCCCAAATGCATGCCGCTGCTCAAATTCCTGCGCGATTCATTGCACTCAACATGCAATCGAATCAATATCCGGGCATAAGATAATCCTGATTCCTGATGTCGCCTCAGATGTGAGAGCTAGCTCAAGCTATGTCACTTATGTCCTACGGGGGAGAACACGACTTGGCACGCGGAGACGAGCTGCCACCCCCCCCCCCCCACACACACACTGAAAGCCCCCGTCCCGTTTATACCCGATTGCGTGCGCAGAAAACACAGAAACAGAATGATTTGTTTACGTTTTGGGGAATGAGGAATCAGTGAGTTTGAGTAGATGGGCTATACATCTACTCAAATGTATTTATCTGTTTATGCTTATTGCATTTATCTGTTTATACTTATTGTTTTCGACGATTGTTGCAAATGTTTTTTAATCAAAATGTTTTTTAAAGGATACTACACACTACCTATACGCAGCTTCAATCGTGTTGTTCAGCATATTGTTCTACCATATAGTCGGCAGCACGCAAAGAATCTAGAAATAGTGTAGGACAACTGGCGATCTGAAAAGCTCGCACTGAAATGATTTTTTTTTTTCATTACATTAGTGAAAAAGTCCCTGCGATTAACCAAAACTCATCCGCTCTCAGCATTGTTAGCAACACAATGGCCGGGACGGCTGTAAGGTTGGCGCCCCTCCGGGATTGCAGCCAGACCGGGTCCCGCATCCACCCCTCCCCAGCGCAGCTCGCCCGCGCCCCTCTCGTCGGCCCGTCGGCGCGCTGCGTCGGTGCCGATGCCAAGGCCGTCGGCACCGTCAGCCGAGCGGCGGCACTGCTGCGGGTTCCATGCTCCGGCTAACAGGATCGGCCGGCCGGCGCGGCCCACTATAAGATGGCCGGGGACGAGGAGGAGGCCCCAGTGCCACCAGCCGACGGTCCGTCCCCTGCTGCCGGCAACGCGCCCGCCGCCGCCGTCACCGCCACCGTCACCGCCGCAGAAGAAGACATGGTTTCCTCGTTCAAGGTGTTCAAGAAGTCGTCTCCCAATGGAAAGGTCACAGTCTACCTGGGCAAGCGAGACTTCGTGGATCACATTTCTTCCGTGGACCCGATCGGTAAGCTTAAATATGCATTCATTTGTTAATTTAGGCTTGTATTTCGCAAAGGGCATAACTTTCAGGTGATATAAAATTCTTGAAGGATTTGATAGAATATCGAAGCAAAAAGGCTACGTGAAATTAATGTCATATAACAACAAATGCTGTGATTGATTCGGAATTGCTTCTGATTAACTTGTTATTGAAAAAAATCACGAGAACTAAAAACAATAGTATGCCAAACATAATTGTAGCTCTATGTACCTATTGCAACATTTTTGATAAAAATTGGCAAACTCGTCCACGTTAGTGGTCAGCAACGGGCCATCATTATAGTTCACTCAAATAGGATCGCCGCAGTCGATTCACCACCGGCATTGTTCCCTGCGGTATTTGTCTGAATCGGCTCTACCGGGAAATGTTCGCTTGGTTAGGTGCTGCTTACAGTAAACGGATTTCGGCGTTAAAGTAATCAAGCCTCCATTGTGACACAATCAACAAAATCAATGCTGAATCGGAGGCTGGTGTGAGCAAACTGCTGACTTCCAACCAATTGTATACAGGTATCACTTTCACCTGCCGTCTATGTGTCGATATTTCTATTTATTTCTAACGGTTTTATCACAATAAGACATCAAGATGCATGTTCTTATTCGTGCTCGTGCAAGTCGATCCGTTATTTTTAGGCCACTTGTCAACGTAATTGGTTAGCGAAAACCCCGTCTACCGATATGATAAATGACGTCCCTAATTAGAGAGAATAAAATAATATTGTTTTAGGTACCTATGCATAAAGCTGTTCATCGGACACCGAATTCTCAGTCTAGCTTGGCTTAGCAATATCCATCCACGGGTCATGAACTAAAAAAATGTGTGGAAATCTTCAGCCAATTAAAACGCACCAATGATACATTCACGCTGGTTACAGGACAATTTGCCGAACTGCATTTTGCCGAATGCTTATTCGCCGAATGTCAATATGTCGAATGCATTTTGCCGACGTGTCTTTTTGCCGACGTGTCAAAAGGGCGAAGTGCTAAAAGTCGAAATGCAATTTGCCGACATGCCTTTTTGCCGACGTGCAATAAGCCGAAAATGTCAATTTGCCGAAATGTCAATTTGCCGAAAAGTCAATTAGTCGAAATGTCAATTCGCCGAAATGCTAATTTGCTGAAATGCTAAATAGTCGAAATGTCAATTTGCCGAAATGTCAATTAGTCGAAATGTCAATTCGCCGAAATGCTAATTTGCCGAAATGCTAATTAGTCGAAATGTAAATTTGCCGAAGTGTCAATTAGTCGAAATGTCAATTTACCGAAAAGTCAATTAGTCGAAATGTCAATTTGCCGAAATGCCAATTAGCCGAAATTAACCTAACCTAACCTAACCTAACCTGACCCGTAAGTAAGTATTACCTTTAGGACCGACTCGCTTTTCAAAGGTAAAGAAACCCACTTACATGTCACCAAAGTATATGAAAAACATAACCAAACCTTACCTAACCTGACCTACTGTTTTTTGCCTACCCGTGGATAAGGAAGAAGATAGGTACTCACATGAATAGATTTCAGACAATGATAAGTCAATTATTTTTAGGTTAAGTGATTGTGCATCAGGCTTCAAGCCAGATACACAACAATTTAACCCTCACCGGACCTATTGGTTTTCTACATACGCGCCGGCCGAGGTGGTAATCGCTGAAAGGCGATTTGCCGAATGTCATTTTGCCGAATGCATTTCGTCGAATGTCATTTTGCCGATGTGCTTTTTGCCGACGTGTCAAAAAGTCGAAATGCCATTTGCCGGCATGCCTTTTTGCCGAAATGCCAATTTGCCGAAATGCTTATTAGTCGTTTCGCCCCTGATGGAGCTGGCGCGTCGCGGAAAAAACGAGCGTGTGCGCCGTTACGAGACGCAGAGATTGATATCCGATTTTAAGGTCCTACGTCAACCGGTGACCTCTGAGGTCAGGTCAAGTGCCCCAAGGTACGGCTCAGTTTTTGGCGAATAACTTCGCCACAAAGGGCCGCAGGGCCGCGATTTTGGCAGCATCGTGTTTGCCTTGCTTAGGTGCGTCAAAGGATATAATTTTTGTTTGGGTCGGGTCAACTTAGGGTGTTGACTTCAGGTCACGGTCATGTGAGACTCGTAATGGATATTAGGTCCTGCAAGTTTCATTTCCCTGTGAAAGCTCCTCTTGCCGTGAGAGCGTTGCGAAGTTGCGACATCTGAAGACCGTGCAGAGGTTCACTTATGACGTCATAGGTCGGTGACATGACCTGACCCAAAAATGCGGTTGGTGTAAAAAGATCCGACTTGAATCAAAGGTCAGGTATGCCAAGTTTCAGCTCTCTATCGCCAGCGTGTTCGGAGCTATCGCGAAAAAAAACCGATGGGGTGCGGGTGCCGCACCCCCCCCCCCCCTCGGCCGGCGAGGGTTAACCCAAGGCCATCTATAGAAGGTACAGTCACTCTCCCGCCGACCAATCAGAGACAGATCCTGAGTGACGTCACCCCTGTTTCGGTTTCACTTAAACTCACTCACCACGCGTTCGTAAGTTATATTATACTGATAATGCAAGCCAAACAAAGCATGACGCAGCGCGCGTCCGTCCGTGACCGCGTCCTGTGTCCAACTCCCCGCCGCCGCGCCGGCCACCGCGGCCGGTGACCCGAGTCCTCGGGCGGTCACGTGACTGGCCGGCCGGGACGCCGGGACCAGGCAGGGCGAACCGAGCCGCACAGTGGAGCGGGACCAAATAACATCACAACATCTCCCCTTCCCCCGAGCCGTGCGAACGATTCATATTTCTTCAATCAGCCTCACAGGCCGACGCCGGGTGCGGGTGGACCTTCGCAAGGTACCACCGTTCTCCGGAGCCGGTACGACGGCAGGGCCACCGGACGTCGGCGCTGCTGAAGGGAGCTCTCGCGTTAGTTCCTCCGGCATGGCGTGTCCGTAGCGTCGTCGTAGGTGCCGGCGGTTCCGCGTCAGCACCCGTCCGTTGCTCAGACGAACGAAGTACCTCCGATGGGGGCCAACGTCACAGATGATGCCGTGCCGGTCCCAGCGTTTGGTCCGATCATCTTGAATGGCGACTTGGTTTCCGACAGTCAGGGGTGTCAGATCCCTCGCCTGCCTATTGTAGATGTCATCAGCGCGTTGCTGTTGCTCAGACAGCTTTGCCTCGGCTCGCTCAGCGGTGAGTTGCCACTCCGGAGCGAAGCTGCGTCTGTGAGCGGGGAGCACGTCTCGGACTGGCCGACCGAAGACGATCTGGGCGGGCGAGCGGCCTCCCGGTCCGGGTGTGTTCCGATGCTGGAGCACGCCTCTGGTCCATCTCTCCTCGTCGAGGCAGCACCTGGAATCATCCCAGCAGCACCGAATCAATTTCTTGGCCGACTTCACTGCCGCCTCAGCCCTCCCATTCGACTGGGGGTAGTGGGGGGAAGACATGCGGTGTTTGATGCCCCACTGCTGAAGGAACACCCGGAATGCACCCGAAGTGAACTGGGGCCCTCCATCAGACATGATCGCTTCCGGCACGCCAACTTGACAGAAGATTTCACGCATCGCGGACATCAACTTCTGCGTATGAGCACTGGTCCCTAGCGGCTTGATAAAACGCCATCCAGAGAAGCCGTCGACAGCGATGAGGTACTTACGGCCAGCATGCTCAGCGACGTCTAGATCGAGGCACTGAAACGGTCTTTGCGTAGGCTGATGGTGGACGATGGTCTCCCGTTGCTGAGACGGAAGCTCCCGCTGGCATCGCTCGCAGCCTCGCGTCACGTTCTCGATGTCTGCGTCCATCCCGGGCCAGTAGACGGTAAGGCGGGCCCTGCTCTTCGTCCGCTCCTTCCCGAGATGACCGTCATGGAGTGCTGTCAGCGTCGTCCTTCTAAGGGCCTGTGGGATGACAAGGCGACATCCACATACGACCAGACCCTCATCGATCGTCAGGCGGTCATGTACGGGCCAGTACTTACGTATGGGCTCCGGCAGATCGTGTTTGGCTGAGGGGAATCCTTCTTTAACGGTGCGTGCCAGAAGCTGGTACTCAGGGTCGTACTGGGCGGCACGGCGTACCTCATCTAGTCGAACGTCGGTGTCTGTGGCGTCAAGCTCGGCGTTGATGACGGTACACACCTGTGCTACTGATCCATCTTCGCCAACTTCGTCTCCTGGCACAGGATCTTGTACGGGCGCTCGCGAGAGGGCATCAGGAGCTCCGTGCTCGTTTCCTGCTCTCCAGCCTGCTGTGAAGGGCCCTGCCTCTCCTATCTTCATCCGGAGCCGCTGGAGGCGAGGATTTTCTATCTCGTCCAGCATCTTGCTGTTCAAGATCGGCACAAGTGGCCGGTGATCGGTGAGTATCTGGAACAGAGGTAAGCCACACAGGAACAGGTGACATTTGCGAGTCGCCCACGCCACGCTTAAGGCTTCCAACTCTATCACAGCATACCGGGATTCGGCATCGCTCAAGAAGCGCGATCCGGCCTGGATCACGCGCCACGTGCCGTCCCGCTGGAGCTGGCGCAGGACAAACCCAATCCCACGCACTCGGCTGGCGTCGGTCTCCAAGCGGGTTGGCAGCTTCGGGTCGTAGAAGGCCAGCGTCGGGACGGAAGAGAGGGCAGCTTTGGTGCGCTCAAATGCTGCCTGGTGAATCTCGTCCCAAACAAACTCCCTTTTCGAACTCAGGAGTGGTCGGAGCGGGGTAAGGTGGTCCGAGACGTTTTCTACGAAGTACGCCAGCTGGTTGACGAGCCCGAAGAAGCTCCGGACCTCGGTCAGGTTGCCGGGCGTCGGGAAGTCGGAGAGAGCCCTGACGAGTTCAGGATCTGGTCGATAGCCATCCCCTGAAACGATGAACCCCGCGAACTTCACGGTCTGCTGTGCCAGCTGGAGTTTGCCGGCGTTCAGGGAGATGCCTTTCTCCTGGCAACGAGCCAGGAACTTGCGCACATGCTGGATATGCTCCTCTCTGGTGCGGCTGAAAACGATGACGTCGTCTACGACTTTCCTAAACCCTGTCATCCCTTCGAACGCCTCGTCCATCCTGCGATTGTAATGTTCGGCGATCGAGGTTATCCCGTAGGGGGCCCGTAGGAACGCGAACCTGCCGAAGGGCGTGATGAATGTTGTCAAGGGCTGACTCTCTACGGCCAGTGGGCACTGATGGTAACCCTTAAGGGCGTCGAATACGGTGAACCAGCGAGCCTCTGAAGCATGGATCGATGCCACCTCTTCGATTGGGGTGGGTGACTGGTACAGCTCACGACGCACGTACTTGTTAAGTTGGGACAGGTCGACGCACAATCGCACGCCTGCGCCGCCTTTCTTAGGGGCGACCACGATTGGAGCGCACCACTCAGTCGGAGCGGTGACCCGTCGGATGACGCCCTCACCCTCCAGCCGTTCCAGCTCGGCTTTAAGGGGCTCTCTGAGTGACAGTGGGATCCGCCGGGGGGCTGTGACGCAGAAGGGACGTGCATGCTGTTGGAGGTGAATGGTGAACTCCTCACCTGGCATGGTGCGAATATGGCCATCAAACACTTTTTCGAACTCATGAGTTAACTGAGACAGATCACTGTACTCACTTGGTTTCGGATGATGGCCCTGTCCCGGCGGATCCGGGTCGTCCTGACGCACCGATGCAGTCTGCGGTCGCGTTGCATCCATCGGAGGCGGACCAGTCCCGGTACCGATCCGATTGATGTCGTCAGCCGGGGGCGACGGAGGAGGACCGAGCTCGGTTCCTCTTCGAGTCGCATCTTCGGCCAGACGTGGCCCACTCATCGCCGAGATTTGGCAGGGGTAGTCGGCCGGTACCAGTCTCAGGTGCCTCGTTGCACTCCAGGACATGAGAAGTCCGCTGACTCCTGGAAGGATGTGCACCTCCTCCTCGGCAGAGGCGTCATCGAGCGTGATGACGGCGTGAAGTACACCCACCGACCTGAGGGTGGTGCCGTTCGCTGCCCGAGGGTGAAGAGACGGTTGACTGATGTCATTGGCCTGTAGTCCGAGCTGTTGCAGGAGGTCTTCACCGCCGACAGACACGTCCGCGCCGGTGTCTGGCAGGGCGTTCACCTTCGCCGAGCGCCGTCCGACTGTTATGTCGACCAGGATACGAGGCGCTCCAGTAGCTGCAGTGGAGGCGATGATAGCTGATGTGGTTGGCCATGGGGGTTCGGCCTGGTCATGTTGACCGGGAGCTCTCTCCATTGGGCGGGAGCGGCAGACTGCGGCAAAATGGCCGATTTTACCGCAGTTACGGCATTCTCGCCCACGGGCTGGGCAGTCGTTTGCTCGGCGATGGAGGTAGCCGCAGTTGCGGCACACGCTGTCGGCGTTCGCTGACGGTGCTGGACGTTGCGGCGGAAAGGCCGTCCGATATCCCTGAGCTTCAGGGCGAGGTGGCTGCTCTCCTCGGGCGCTCTGCGGTCCACACACTCGGCAAGTGGCTGATGGCTGTGGTTCTCGGCCGTCGACCTCGTGGCTGGGGTCGCCGATGCAGGCGACGACGTCTGGTCGTCGAATCTCGGTGGCGTCCCGGTGCGCCGCCTCCTGGGACCTGCAGAGAGATATTGCAGCCGACAGAGACAGGTTTGGGATGGCACAGAGCTTTTGCACAGTCTCTGCGGACCTCAGTCCAATAACAATACGGTCCCTGATAAGTGACTCGTTACATGAAGAGCAAAAGTTGCAAGAACGAGACAAGTCACGGAGACACGTGAGGAAGTCATCAAAGGTCTCTCCATCACCCTGAACCCTGCTATTGAACCTCTTCCTTTCCAGGACCTCATTCACCTGGCCAATGGCGTAGACCTCCAGTTGACGGAGCACAGCGCGCACGTCCTGCCGCTCGTCCTCTTCTAGCGGCAGATTGCGGACGACTCGGTTCGTGTCGTCGGTGAGGCAGGCGCGAAGAGCAGCCATCTGTGCCCTGGGCTCCATCGCTCCGATGCCGGCGAGCAGATAGAAGTCCTCCCATCTTTCCTTCCAGGTCCGGAACGCGTCACCTCGCTCGGTGGACAGGTCGAGTCGGTCGGGCTGTGCCGCCCTTCCCAGCCAGGCGGTACCTGCTGCCGGGACTTGAAGTGCACCGCCCGCCGGTGCCAAAGTGTCGTTCGGCATTATCACTCAGTTACGTTAAATTCTTATAAAAAGTTATACGGCTACCGACCGCGCCATGTTTCGGTTTCACTTAAACTCACTCACCACGCGTTCGTAAGTTATATTATACTGATAATGCAAGCCAAACAAAGCATGACGCAGCGCGCGTCCGTCCGTGACCGCGTCCTGTGTCCAACTCCCCGCCGCCGCGCCGGCCACCGCGGCCGGTGACCCGAGTCCTCGGGCGGTCACGTGACTGGCCGGCCGGGACGCCGGGACCAGGCAGGGCGAACCGAGCCGCACAGTGGAGCGGGACCAAATAACATCACAACAACCCCTGATGCTCGATAGGGGTACTCCATTCCTTTACAACGTAAAAATGACAAACTTCATTTGAAGATTGTTGGTGACACTCTACACATATCGCTCAAACATTGATGTCATTGGAAAGTCCAACTAATTTTCTAGCGATAAAATAGAGCAGCAATATGCTAAGAAATGGCCGGTTTTGAAGATATAGACGATTTAAAAACCCTCTGCAGTTGAAGGAAAGCAACGTAAAAACGCATCGAGCTTATAATTTTACTATGAATAAATCATTTTTCAATAAGTTTTTAGATATGGTATCGATTTATTTAACAACTTTATTACAATATTTTTATTACTTGTAACTTTATTTCAAAATAATATTTTCAAAAATGGCAACTGTTGGTAAGTAGCTTTGAAGCGATTGTGGCGCGGCGCGCCATTATTGTCCTGAGGCCCCCATATGATGTCATCAAAAGTGGAGTGACATGGGCCTGGGTTAACCTAAAAATATTTGACTTACCTTTGCCTCTAATCTCTCTTAAGGCATTGCCTTCGGCACTGCACTGCTTCGCCACGAGCAATTTGATGTTTATTTCCACATGGTATTGGTGCTGTTAAACTTGTTTGTGCCATAGTTATGAAATCAGGAGGTCAAAGGATATCATGTGATTTGCTTCTTACTTGGGGATTGCACCAAAAGTAAATTGGTGATCGGTCCTAAGTATATAAACACCACCTTACCTGACTTAACCTAACCTAGGTTAACCTAGGTTGCAGATTGACATTTCGGCAAATTTACATTTCGGCAAATTTACATTTCGACAAATTGACATTTCGGCAAATTGACATTTCGGCAAATTGACATTTCGGCAAATTGACATTTCGGCAAATTGACATTTCGACAAATTGACATTTCGGCAAATTGACCTTTCGGCAAATTTACATTTCGGCAAATTTACATTTCGACTAATTGACATTTCGACTAATGGACATTTCGGCAAATCGCATTTCGGCAAATTTACATTTCGACTAATAGGCATTTCGGCAAATTGGCATTTCGGCAAAAAGGCATGTCGGCAAATGGCATTTCGACTTTTAGCATTTCGACTTTTTGACACGTCGGCAAAAAGCACATCGGCAAAATGACATTCGGCGAAATGCATTCGGCAAAATGACATTCGGTAAATCGCCTTTCGGCAATTTGTCCGGACACCATTCACGCTCGCCTGATCAGATGTGGACAGTGGACACTGTACAGCAGTCAGCATTTCGAGCACCTCATGTTCCGAATCACATGGCACAGTGAAGCACTGCAAAACACTGCTAATGCACGCTTTTGTTTGTTTATTAATGCACTGAAGCATAAGATAACCCGCGCCCTGGTGGGGTCTGTTTATAACGCGACCTGGTGGGGGGGGGGGTATTTTTTGCCCCCCCCCTCGTATCTCCGAAACTACTGGACGGATCCGCAAAATTCAAACGGCGTTTGAAAGGCCAAATTTGTCAAATTTGTCGCAGGAAACCAAATTTCATTGACCTCGGGGTCACCGATGACGTCACAGGTCAGGTCAAAGATGAAATGTTTCACCGTTCACGGGTACTCTAGGGAATGCGCTATAACACCGAGGAAAACGCATTTTGTCGAGAATCAGCGATAGGGCGTCAGTTGCCTAGTAGATATGTTGCTATTAGAGGTCACTGACAATACTAGGTCAGGTCAAAGGTCAGGTCACCAAGGGTCACAGGTCAGGTCACATGAGCCCAACTTTATTAAGGTTGTGTGAT